TGCAGAAGATCAATAATAACAGAGGCTTGTGATACTGAAGCTTTGCAAAAAAGAATTGCATCATCAGCAAAAAAAAGGTGAGTAAGCACAGGAGAGAATTTGCTGATTTGCAAACCACAAAAAGACCATTAACACGAGCTTGGTGCAATAAATTAAACAATGCTTCAGATAGAATAATGAAGAGATAAGGTGATAGAGGATCACCTTGTCTCAAACCCCTAGATGGATTAGTCATTATTCTCAGGCTTCTTCATTCACGGTATCAATCAATTATACTATTTTATTAAGTTAGGTTACCACTGTCAAACAAAACCAGCCGTTCGTGTAATGACTTGCATATTTCCTCCCTATTTTATCTTTTTCCTAAACTTTTGTTTTAATTTTTACTTATTTATTAATTTTTATTTAATTCTTCCTTTCAAATATTTTAGGTAGGGCAATTTATGGATCAAGATTGATTTCAATAGGTAGGGCAATTTATGGATCAAGATTGATTTCAATTTATATTATACCATAGTTATGCATCTTTAAAATCCTTTTGATTTCACCATCTTAAATTGGCTCCAATGATTTAGTATAAATACCCTTCACCCTATGATTCATTTTTACTCACAATCCATCCTAGAGGTAAATATTTTTCCTCATCTTTATCTTTTCTTTCTTTCTTTATGTTTATCATTCTTCTTCGATACCGTCCCTGGCCATGCGCCGTTATTCTGCCACTTGTCGGATCCATGTGCGTGTGTGTCATTAGGTACGGTGGCAAACAAGTTGAATGAGAGCTATTGTTTTAATTTGTTTATTTATTTTATATTATTCTCGACAATTAAGAGTGAGATTATAGAGTTCAATCTAGCAATTTGCTAAGATTATTTTCTAACTCACGAACATCCACTTAATTTTTTTGATCTTATTGCTATCCATTATCTATTACATATACATTAAACAAAATACATATATATATATTTTTATATATTATATATACGCACGCACACACACCACACTAGAATTATATGTATATATATTGTATTACGCACACACACCACCAATAGTGTTATATATACATATATATATATATATATTAATTGTTTATTTTATTTTACCTTTTATTACTTTTATATACATAGATTTATATTTACCTATTTCAGCCTGTAGGCAATTGAATACAGAGATCACATAGGTAACTTGAAAGTAACAATAAAACATTCATAAGAGACATGTACATGAATTTTTGTAAGAATAAACCCCACCTTTGTGATGAATGAGGGATGATAAGTATGACTTGAAAGAAGACCTACTTCTCAGTCTAATCCAACTCTACAAATGTGAATTAGTCTTGGATCAATGCAATTTTTACACATATAAAATTGACGGAGGGTCTTAATATTAATTAATAAAATAGGTAAATATAATCTATGTATATAAAATTAATAAAAGGTAAAATAAAATAAACAATTAATATATATATATATATATATGTATATATAACACTATTGGTGGTGTGTGTGGGGTATATATAGTGTGGTGTGTGTGCGTGCGTATATAATATATATATATATATGTGTGTGTGTATGTGTGTGTGTGTATTTTGTTTAACGTATATGTAATAGATAATGGATAGCAATAAAATAAATAAAAATCAAGAATATTAAGAGGATGTGTGTGTAGTGTGCGTGAGTTATAAAATAATCTCGTGAGTTACAAAATAATCTCATGCGCAATCGACTTTGTGGAATGGACAACTAAATGAAATCTTAGCAAATTGCTAGATTGAACTCCATAATCTCACTCTTAATTGTCGAGAATAATATAAAATAAATAAACAAATTAAAACAATAGCCCTCATTCAACTTGTTTGCCACCGTACTCAAAGACACACACGCACATGGATCCGCTGGATCCGACAAGGGCGGTCCGGCGGTGACAGAATAACGACGCATGGCCGGGGACGATCGAAGACGAATGATAAACATAAAGAAAGAAAGAAAGAAAGAAAGAAGATGAGGAAAAATATTTACCTCTGGGATGGATTGGATTGTGAGTGAAAATGAGTCATAGGGTGAAGGGTATTTATACTAAATCATTGGGCCAATTTAAGAAAGTGAAATCAAAAAGGATTTTGAAAGATGCATAACTATGGTATAATATAAATTGAAATCAATCTTGATCCATAAATTGCCCTACATAAAATACTTGAAAGGAAGAATTAAATAAAAATTAATAAATAAGTAAAAATAAAACTAAAGATTAAAACAAAAGTTTGGGAAAAAGATAAAGTAGGAAATATGCGGGTCATTGCCCTTAGAGTATTTTCGTCCTCGAAAATATTTATTACGTACCACTAGATAGGAAAGACGGGTACTTTGGAACAAATCTCCTCTTCTCTTTCCCATGTTGCCTCTTCTTTCCCATGTCCATTCCACTGAACTTTGATGAGATTTATGACTATGTTCCTAAAATTTTGCGCCTTTTTGCCTAGAATAGCGATTGGGAATTCCTTGTACGTTAGATCTTTATCGATTGACACCGTAGATTGGTCGACGATATGGCTTGGATCGTGAACATACTTTCTTAGTATCGACACGTGGAAAACGTCATGTACGGCCGCAAAATCAGGTGGGAAGGCTAAACGGTAAGCCAAGTCCCCAACTCGTTTAAGAACTTCGAAAGATCCAATAAACATCGGTCGAAGCTTGCCCCTCTTTCCAAAACGAACGACCCCTTATAAAGGTGCTACCTTCAAAAACACTTTATCTCCAACCTCAAAGTGAACATCCTTTCTAAACTTGTCCGCATAAGACTTTTGTCAATCTTGTGCAATTTTTATTCTTTCACAAATTTTCTTAATTTTCTCTAGTGTCTCCTCGACCAACTCATGTCCCAACACTTTTCTCTCTCCGACTTCATCCCAGTAGAGTGGCGACCTACATTTTCTGCCATGTAAGGCCTCGTAAGGCGCCATTCCAATAGTGCTCTGGTAACTATTGTTATAAGCAAACTCGACCAGCGGAAGGAGTGTCTCCCAATCCTTTTTGGTGTCGAGAATACAATCTCTCAACATATCTTCGAGAATTTGATTCGTCCGCTCGGTTTGGCCGTCCGTTTGCGGATGGTAAGCTGTACTAAACTTTAAATTGGTTCCCATGGCCTTATGTAAACTCTTCCAAAATTTACACGTGAAATGAGTGTCTCGGTCGGACACTATAGATAGCGGAACTCCATGCAATCTCATTATATCCTTTATATACATCTGCGCGAATTGATCCATCTTCATTGTCATCTTCACCGGTAGAAAATGAGCAGACTTTGTCATCCGATCAACAATGACCCATATTGCAGTGTTGCCCCTACGTGTCAGCGGTAAGCCAACTACAAAGTCCATCGAAATATACTCCCACTTCCATTCTGGGATCTCAAGGGGTTTTAGTAGCCCAGATGGTCTTTGGTGCTCCGCCATAACCTGTTGACAGGTTAGACAACTCTCGACGAATTTCCCTATGTCGGCCTTCATCCCTTTCCACCAAAACATCTTCTTAAGGTCTTGGTACATCTTGGTGCCGCATGGATGGGCCGTATAGGGTGTGCTATGCGCTTCAATCAAGATTTCTCGCCTCAGACTTTCGTCTTGAGGAATACAGAGCCTCCCTTGAAGGTTAAGGTCCCATCCTTCGACATGTCGAATCCCTTACTTTCATCAGAAATCGATAGTCCCTTCATTCTCAAAATGAATTCATCATGGGGTTGAGCTTCCTTAATCCTCTCCTTTAAAGGTGATTGTACCATTAGCGCAATCAAGACTGATTTCGTGCTTTTCGGTGGTCTAAGTACTTCAATACTCAAACGTGAAAAATCTTGAGCTAGATGTCCTTGGAGGGGGTGCAAACTTCCTAGCTCTCCCTTTGATTTACGACTTAAGGCATCTGCCACCACATTCACCTTGCCTGGGTGATATTGGATGGTACAATCGTAATCCTTTACTAATTCTAGCCATCTTCTTTGCCTCATGTTCAACTCCTTCTGAGTGAACAAGTATTTCAAACTCTTATGGTCCGTAAATATATCACACTTCCCCCCATAAATATATCGTAATCCTTTATTATTGAGACTTTTCAAACGCAATCGTTTTGAAACTTTGTTTTATTATAAGATCTTTGCATTCTATTTTGAACATTTTGACTTATGCTTCCGCACTTAATCTTACAAAAATAAAATAAAATATTTCGTAATAATAAGGAAAATTTTGAGGTTGTTACAGTTCGTGACATAGGACTTGGCTAATTAAATCTTGAGCTTGTTTAGTTTATGAGTCGGGCTCAACACGACTTGTTAGAACTCGAAAGAGGATTTTTTTGCATAAACTTCTATAACTTGACACGTTGAGGCTCGAATTCAGCTTGTTAAAATGCTTCAATTTGGTTCATTAGTATTGATAAGCGAGCGAAATTCTTCTCGTTTACATCCTAAGTTAGGTTCAACTAATTGTCGAACTGATGTTGGCTAGTATACAATTTCTTCCTAGTTTGCTAATTTATCTTGGCAGACTCAATACTGCATTATATTTTTCTATTTAGTTAAAACACTAATTATTATATTTTTACAAAAATAAAGATGTATATATATCTTACAATACGACTGGCAATGTATATATCTTACAATTTCTACACATACGACTTTAAGAAATGTATATCACATTGGCCCGAGCCATCGGGCCACACTCCATTATCAGGAGCGAAACGATTTTCTTTCGATCAAATAATCAAAACTTACTAACTACATTGCTCTTCAGTTTTGTATCATTAGTTATCTTCCTTCAATACGCATTTGCTCAAACAAGACATGTAAACTTGTATGCACTTCACTATCATTGGCGAGGAGGCTTTTAAAGTCTAGCGTAGATCTATTGAACACATAACTCTAATTTTTAAAGTCTAGCGTAGATCTATTGAACACATAACTCTAATTTTTGCAACAGTCAATCATGTAGCCATTCCTACTGACTTCTAAGTTAAAACAATCCATCTAGTGAACGAACTCAATAAAACGTAAGAACAACTCACAGTTGTAGAAGCTGCACGAATCTCTCTATAAGTTTCAACTTCATCAGGCATTAGTTCCAGTTCTTCAAGAAGATGTTTGGGCAAGCTCTGCAATGCATAAGTATAAAACTAGTCAACAAAACCAGAAAGGCACTAAACATTTCAATTTATCATCGAGATACAAACTGAAAAGAAATGTCAAAGATGATAAAATATTAAAATATGGGATAGAATTGGCACATGTAAGAATATCAAAGATGCAGTTAGAAACAAAGAAGCATAAAAACTCTTTTGAAAGTATCAATGCATACCAGAGAGCAAATTACCACGAGACAATGAGAATACGAATTCTAGAAGTCCCAAAATGACAAAATAAATAGAGATTTATAGAGATAGCTTTCACCATCAAGAAAACACTCACTTAAGAACCTCCATTGGGACCTGTATGCTGCACTTCTCCGCTAATCTTGTCATATTGTCAAGTTAAAGTACCAAGTTATTCCTATATCCAAACAGAAAGACCTAATTAAAGGATCAATGAAAACAATGGTCGAATTTGCAGAGTTAGTACTTCTGTTCTGTATCCAATCGAAAAGGAATCCCAATGTAGCAAACAGTAAGTTATCGATGAGGAAATGATAATATGTTGAAACCCTAACAATAAAGGAAAAGCACAATTCGCTAAAAGGGGATATCAATCGAGAAATTGATTACATGCGTTCGGGAATTGGGAGGCGACGGTGAGGTAGAGCTGGTGAAGAATGCCCGGAGTTTTGTAGAATGAATTTGTAACTTGAGTCAAGTTCTGTTTGGGAGCGTCGATTGGAGAGGCAGCGGCAGCGGCGGAGGAGGCTGAAGAATCCATTGGAGATTGGTCCGTGGACTGTAAGGTCGTGGTGCCGTTGCCCTCACCGCCGGCTGCCGTCTGGGAGGAATCCATGCTTCTCCAAATTGGAAATGTCTCTGTTAATTTTTAATGCTGCAGCTGAATATATATTATTATTTAGAAGAATATTTTAAAAAGATAAGTGAATGGGTGTGACTTGAAATTTAAGTACAATTTTGTAACTCCTTGATTGGTTTATACTCATAATTTATGGCATTTAAGAAGTTATTTTATAACTTAAAAGTAAAATTTAATGTTGAAAATTTTGGAGAGATAATAAAATTTAATGCATAATAATATAATTAAATGTTATGTTACTCCTCTTTATATATATATATATATATATAGATATTATAGATATTATCAAAGATTCAAAATAACCTAATGCATGATAAAGCAATAGAAGGGTCACGAGACTCGCAACTCACAATTCATATTAAACCGGTGGCACAGGTTTATATATATACTCATAGACAGGGGCGAAAGCACATTCCGGCCCTCCCAAAAAAAAATTATTGAACTAGGTATAGNGATTCCTGCCCCAATTCATCAGCCATCCCTCCGCAGCAAGCCAGCACTTAGCAGTGGCGAAAAATTAAAAAACCTCCATCCCTTCCCTTCTCAATCCACTCACGGCTCACAAGTCATTTTGGATTACCCACTCATTTCGGTTGTTTGATCGAGAATTCTTCGGATTACCTACTCATTTAGGTAGTTATTTCATTATTTGTTCATTTTTCCTAAATTTTGCTTCATGTTTGCTTTTATAAATTTATTTGTAGAATTACGAATTGTTATTTTAATTTATAAATTATAAGTTTATAAGTTTATTTGTTTAGAAAATTAGTAATATGAGTGTTTATTGTTTTAATGTTTGTGTATTTATTTGTAAAATTTTAACCTAATAACTAATTTGTTAAAAAATTGATAATTTAATATATGAATTTAGTATAGGTATGAATTATTATTTTAATTTATAATGGCATGACTGTATGAGTTGTTATTTTATTGAGCTTGATAGTAATTAGTCACTTTAGTTTTTATTTTGAATTGTTATTCTATATAGTAAATTGTAGTTGTAATATTTTTAATTATTGATTTGTTTTACTATTTTTAGGTATTTGAATTTTGACAATGGATAAGTTTGTATCCAAATGGAAGAAGCCGGTTTCATCTTCATCAAGTAATGTGGATTTGAATGATAAAGATAGTGGCAAAAGACAACGAGTAGAAGTGGAATTGGCGGAAGATGACATTGTTGGTGATCCGGGATTGCGAAAACCTATTGATGATTATCCTTTTGCTATTAGAGATGAATTGAGGAGACGATACTTGGCAAAAGGTCCCTTTCAACCACATGATCACAATTTTCATAAGTCTAATTTTGGTAAGAATATGAGATCATTTCAAAAGGCATGGTTTACGCAATATGATTGGCTCGAATATAGTATTCAGAAAGATGTCGCTTTTTGTCAAGTATGTTATTTGTTTAAAAGGATTAATACTCGTTGTGGAGATGATGCTTTTACTGGTGTTGGTTTTAAAAATTGGAAGAATGCTTTAAATAAATTCAAGGAGCATGAAGGGGGTTTAAACAGTCCACATCGTAATGCTATGGTTCAGTGTTCGTCATTTAGAGACCAAAGGCATAATGTGGATTATGTGTTATCACAAAAGGGCACTCAAATGGAGATTGACTACCGCGTTCGGCTAACGGCGGTTGTGAAAGTTGTTCGATTGCTTTTAGGGGAAGGTTTGCCATTTCGTGGACATGATGAGTCAAAAGATTCAATATGAAAAGGTCATTTTCTTGAAATTTTGGATTGGTATTGTGAGGAGAAGGAAGAAGTGAAGAGGGTCATGAACTTGAATGCTCCCGGGAATAATCAGTTGACTTCTTAAAAAATTCATAAAGAAATCATCAATGCTTGTGCTACAGAGGTGAGGAAAGTCATTATTAATGAAATTGGAGACAAGTTCTTTTCTATTTTGATCGATGAAGCTCGGGATAGTTCAATAAGGGAGCAAATGGCCGTCGTCGTGAGATTCGTGAACGATCGGGGAGAAGTGATCGAGCGATTTTTGGGAGTGGTCCACGTTAGTGACACCTCGGCACACTCTCTAAAAGGTGCAATTGATGAATTTTTTGCAAGAAATGGATTGTCACTTTCTAGGCTTCGAGGTCAAGGTTACAACGGAGCTTCCAACATGCGAGGTGAATTCAATGGTCTTAAAACTCTTATTTTACAAGAACATAAACACGCATACTATGTTCATTGTTTTGCTCACCAACTTCAATTAGTGGTTGTAGCAACTTCAAAAGAGAACACGTGTGTGAGTGATTTTATGGATTATCTTGTAAGGATTGTGAATCTTGTTGGAGCTTCATGTAAAAGAATGGATGCTATTCGACAAAAGCATTACGATGACCTTGTACAACGTATTCAAAGTGGTGAGATTTCTACGGGGACCGGCTTGAATCAAGAAACAAGTTTAGCTCAACCGGGTGCTACGCGTTGGGGATCTCACTATAGGACAATCAAGCGGATGTTGGAAATGTGGGATGCGGTACAAGACGTTCTTGATACTATTGAGAGTGAAGCCACAGATTTCCAAAGTCGAGGCGTTGCTAGAGGTTTGATTGCTAAATCAACAACTTTTGAATTTGTATTCATTGCTTATTTGTTGGTGACAATATTGGCAAAAACAAGCGTACTTTCGGCGGCCTTACAAGAAAAAAGTCAAAATATTGGTAAAGCCTTCGTTTTGATTAGAACGTTGAAGGAAGATTTGGGGAAGTTTAGGGAGGATGGTTGGGAGGAATTTCTTGAAACCGTCAAGGAATTTTGTTCTCAAAAAGGCATTTTGGTGCCTAATATGGAAGATCATTTACCGGGTCGGCCTAGATCTAAAAGACAAGTGGATGACCAACCAAAGACTTATTTGCACTTTTTTCGACGAGACATCTTTCTTCCGGTAACTATTTTGCTTTAATTTCATATTAACATTTTTTATGTTTATTATAGTGTTAATAATTAGCTTATTTTTCTCAATTTAATAGGTTGTTGATCTTATCTTACAAGAGATGGCTAATCGTTTTGGAGAGTTGAGTACGGAACTTATTTCGTGCATAGTCTGTCTTGATCCTAGAGATTCTTTCGCTAGCTTTGATCGTGAAAGACTGCTTCGTCTCGCTCAATTATATCCAAATGATTTTGATGATGAGTTCAAACTGAAAGAAGAATTGAATCACTACATCTCGATAGTCACAATACATGAGCGTGCATTTTTCTCTGATCTTCAAAGTATTGGAAACCTTGCAAAAAGAATGGTTGAGAGAAAGTGGCACACTGCTCTTAAGTTAGTTTATCGGCTCATTGAGTTGGCACTAGTTTTGCCCGTCGCAACTGCTACTGTTGAAAGAGCTTTCTCCTTGATGAAGATTATCAAGAATGATTTGCGCAACAAAATGGGAGAGGATTTTTTGACGGATAGCTTGGTGTGCTACATTGAAATGGAAATCTTTATCAAAATTGAAAATGAAGTCATTTTGCAGAGATTTCAGAACATGGCGTCCCCAAGATTTCAGTTACCGCGTGCCGATCTTATTAGTTCCCCCTTGGTTAAAAGCTAGATTGTATTTTTATTTTGTATAATGTTATTTGAACGATAATTTAAATAGTTTGCATTTATTTTTGTGTTTGTGTTTGGTTTTGTCGTGAAAATTTTTTTTAAAGACAAATTGGGCCCTCCCCGTGCTGGGATCCTGGTCTCGCCACTGCTCATAGATGAATTAAATAATATTCGTTTATATATTCGTAGGAAAAAAATAATTTTACTTATTTTATTCATTATATAGTAGTAATAGTACTCAAAAGTAGTTGTTTTATTTTAAAATTTATTACCATGCATACTACTTTTTTAATTTTTATAGTTATTTTATGGTAAAATTACCATGCATATTGGATTTGTTACTATTTTTTAAGTATTTTGTAATGTAATTTATTTTCTTGGTACACAGTAATTGGCATTTACTATAAAATAATAATATTAATTTAAACTCTTAAATTTTATATTTAATAATGTAATTTAACTAGAACTATTTATACCTATTCAAATAGTGTATGTCTAAACTCAATTTTTCGCATTTGAATTATGATGTAAAATTTGATAAATGACCCATTGGCCCCTTTAGCTCGAAGTAAGTTAAACTTAATTTCACTTTCCTTAGTCCATTTAAATTATAGAAAGAAAAAAATGTCTCGAACCATTTAGCCCAAAATCTATTAAGTCTGCAATGCAATTATGTAACATAAGCAAACTATATAGACATTTCAATAGAGATATGACCTTACATCAAAATCTATATATATATATATATAATAAGAATTATCATTTTTAAAAAATGGCAAGTCAAACTCGGTCAGCATTAAATACTTACCAATTTAGGCAAGTTTTTTAATTTTTTTTATTTAGTAGAGTTGAGCAGCATTTAGTGGTTTCCTTAAATTGCGGGATTACTTCATCTCAAATTTAAATATGCGGTTGATTTATGTCAAATAAATGATGTCCTTAAATTGTGTGATTAGTTCATTTAAAATTCAAATATGCGGCTCTATCAAATTTTCCATACAATGTGGTATTGGTTCAATTCACTTTTGAAAATTAGTCTGCTTTATTATGGCCTGCGGCTGTAATGTTTATGCTGCAATTAACATATCATTTTATTCCTTAAAGGCTTTTGTTCAAATCTCTACTCATATGTATTTCAGTTTTTTATTATTTATTTTTTTCGGTTCAAAATCGGATTGCATACATGAATGGGTTCATTCAGATTTCAGAAACCACAATCACATTTTTATAAATTTGAACTTCCTAAAATGAAGGGTTCTATTCAAATTAAAATTTGAATATCTCTACTGAAATGGTAACTACTCAATCACATGAATTTATGCTTAATTTAAAACTATATTTGTTTGCAATTCCATTTTGGATAGAATTCGAATCACACAATATTTTTCATCTAGACTGATTTTATAAAGTAAATGACATCTCATAAGACAAATAAACAAAATAACAAGAAGTAATACAACACACCATTCTCATTCATACATTCATCCATAAATAAGGATTAAAAGTTTATATGCATTGTTCTAATAAGCAGATTAAAGTAAAGGACATTATTTACAAGAAAAATATGAAATAACTGAGTAAACAAAACACATTCACACTGAGAGAATCTTATGATCGGTTGTAAAAATCAAGTGGATTCCTAATATTATGTATTTTACTAAAAGATGTTAATATATATTTTCTCAAACCGGGTGAGCATTTAAAGTGAAAATATGTTGCCAACCATTGTCAAAAACTTATCTATTCTGTATTCTCGCAACACACATATTTAAATTATTCAACAATATCCGATTGACTAATTTAAACATTTACTCATTTAAAATTCTAAAGAGATACAATTAAATCTAAATCCAATTTTTTTAACATATATCTAACAAATCCGATAAGCACAACATCATATATAAACCTAATATCAGTTTTTATTCCTATAACCCAACAATGCCACAAAGGTGCAATCAATATGTCGATTTTACTTTTCTCTGTATTTTATCTCCTTTGTTTGATTAAATGCTATGATTAAACTCATACTGTNTGTTTTTTTTTGCAGCATCTACCATAACTATTTTGAAATTGGCTAGAATTGGGAACATTGAAGAGAAGGGAAGTACAAGCATGGAAAAACATAGTGCTACAGATCAACATAATACTACTCATAGAAGAAGGATCAGCAGAAGCAGAATGGATTAAAAAACTAAAACAAGTAATATTTTTTACTCAGTTTATTGTTTTACTTTTATTATATGTATAATATAATAATTGTATGCAAGTTTTCATACTTAATTTTTCATGAACATAAAACTACTATTGCATAAAATAGTTTATCTGAATTTCATGTATATATTGTTGAATAATCTGCCTATGTCATGTTAGAAATTCCTATTTGATATTACCTTTTCTATATAAATATTAATCCCAGCAGTTAATGCTCAGTCTTCGTGGGAACTCGATCGAGATTTCCATGCATAAAAAAAAAATAGAATTATGTGTTTAATTTCATCTATAATACTAAAATTAAGCAAAACAATTAACAAAGAAATGTGCTAGAACAATATAACCAATTTCATTTATCTCTGTTTTACACTTGCTAAGTTTGATTATCATGAAGCTTGAACTTGCATTATCCAAAATGATTAAAGACGTTGTTCCAAATATGCAAAAAAATTAAATAATGAAATGTGTTATAACTTATAAGAATATAATCAATTTGCAACTATGAATGTTACATTTTTATCATATATCAATGAATCAGTTATTATAATGGTCTATATATTAATATCTATTTGTAAAAAATAATCAAAAATAATTAAAGTTAACAAAATCATCATGTGTATGTTTCGCACATTTATCTTTGGATATTTTTTAAAATTTATAGATTTGTCGGATTATAAACTCTTTAAGTATTAATATATTATTTATTCTACTATTTTTCTCCAAAAAACTTTGACATTAATTAGAAAACATACTAATTGAGGTTTTCTTAAGTTTATGTATTTTCCATATTTTTTACTGTTGTAGATACAATATCTATATCGCCATTCAATGATCCATATATATGTACCAACACAATAATGTCAGATCAAGAAGTAATTCAATGCTCTTGATTATGTATCCTCACTGAGATCATTCACGTGAGAACATTTTGGTTCCGTGGATGATGTTAACTCCTTCTGATGTTAGGATACTTTCAAATTTCAGGTGAAGACAATTCCCAATGATGTGTTCTTATGCTATGACGATAAACAAGAGACAGAGTCAATCTTTGTCGCATGTTGGTCTGTTCTTGAAGAAACCAATATTGAGTCACAGTTAGCTGTATGTAGCTGTTGCATGCATTACGAAATGTAAGGGTAAGAAATTTTAATTTGAGGCAATGACGATGTACCAAAAAACTAAACAAATAATATTGTGTACAATGAGGTGTTTAATAATATATAAGTAACATTTTGTTTTATTACAATACATGCGTTTTATGTTCTGACCAATCATCCAATCATCCAAATTTAAATGTTTTCTTTAATAATACTAGGCCGTGCATCGCACGGGCAACGCACTAGTAATATTTATAATGTGAGTATTATGGTGAAAGCGAATTTTCAAATAAACAATGATAATTTTATTTTTTGTTAGTTCACATTAAATCCATAGGACTATAAAATAATTGCATGGAATATTGTAGACATCAAAATTTTAATATTTTATTAATTAATGTCTTTATTTATTTATAGACATAAATCCATGATAAATAAGGTATATAATTAATAATATTATTATTTCTTGTCCACCAAGTCAAATCTTATGATAAGAAAGAATCTTAGGATAAGGAAAGAGATTATATCAAATCAAGAAGGACAAATCAAATCAATGTCTTCTTCTCCAAGACTATCTCTCCTACACCTATAAATATGGCTCTGCTCAGTGCCACAAACCACACCTAAAAAAAATCCAACACTTCATAAATCAAAGTCTCTATTCAAAGAGCTCTCAATAATTCAAATCCAACACCCCATAAATCAAAGTCTCTATTCAAAGAGCTCTCAATAATTCTCTTGAAGATCCAATGGTCTTCTTGAAGATCCACAACATTTAAACCGAGTTCGTCGAGAAGCTCAAGTAACATAGCGTTTGATCCGGGAAAAAGCTCTCAAGCCCTTGAGTCAACGTTATTCAAGTCTAAATTCGTCTTCTAGAAAGATCGAATAAGCATGTCCTACAAGAAGTTGTCTTCAATCAAATCAAGTCCTAACGTTTAGTTCGGGATCAAAAATCCAAATCCAAATCCATGAAGAGAAGAATCAGAGGATACATATAGAGATTGTACCCGCAATACCGTTTGATCGAAATAAATCAAGTTGTACAAAAGTTTTATATTTATCATAAAATTGGTTACAAATATATTTAATTATTTTTTTTAAACAAAGTCGATTTATTCATGTGCCATGAAGCCATGGACTTATTATCACACATGTAGTTCGGCAACATTAGAGTCCAACGTTTAACATAAACACAAACTGTAATGCATAATTTGTATGTTAGGAAAATTTAATCGTTAGAAACTTACATTTTTTTTTAACATATGCATATATTAAACACACTTAACATACTTTAACAATTGACATTTTACAATATAACTATTTGTTAATTGTTATACAGCATTTTTTCAAGACGGCCCATCAACCGGTTGGACCTTAATACCCTTACTCTTTGATGGGCCCAAAACTTTATGCTGATGGACCAAAAAATATACGCTAGCCCATAAACATTAGGCATATTGGCCCAAGCTCAAATGCCGATCTCTTTCCTGCTCGGTCGCTCAGTCCACTGCAAAAACAGAAACTAGTAAGGCGAATTTTTAATTCTACCACATGAATATTAAAAATTGCTGATGTACGAGATGTAGCATTTTATTAGCATGGATACCAGATTAACATGCCTCCATATTTGTTGACTTAAAAACGTCCGTTATCAAAGAATGAACCATCCTAAATCACCCAACTAAGAAATTCAGTGACAAAAAAAAGGTAAGTGGATATAAACTAATCACACATCTTTTTTTTTTTTTTGGCCGAAACGATAGAGACTTTATATAACAAACGCACAAATGTGCAAAGATACAACTTGGAACGCAGCCCAAAGCTGAATAAAATGGGAGGACAGGTCTGACGACCGCCTAGAATCCCGATACTAGCAACGCTAGAAACCAAAAGAAGACACTCGAGACAACCACACAATAACTACACAGAAAATCTACAACTAAAACGCTCCCCACAGGAGAATAGAGACAAGAGCTGCTCCCAACAGGAGAATAAATTTGCTCCCTCTCACACTGAGGCCAACGGCCCAAACCAAAAAAACAAAACAAACACTCAGGTAAAATACCCAGACCTAAAACACAACCTATCACAGACTCAAACGAACCAAAAAAAACAAAGAGAAAAAAGAGCCCTTCCGCAGCTAATCGAACAGACCAAGCCAGCAGCGAACAGTCGTTGACGAAGAAGAAGCCAAGTCCAAGGAGCCACTTCCGAAACTGCCATAAGGCCTATACAAAAGCCAATCCCGAACACGAACTACTAATCAAAAACGACCCGACACCAACCAGAGGAACACGACGGAGCCAGCCCTCACACCATTCCCTACCAATCTCAACTAACACCACTAGTAGAGTTCGAGAGGAACCGCTCCCCCACCGCCTAACACCACTAGCCGAACGGAGAAGAGAGAGGGTGGCCCGGCTCCTCAACACCGGCCTCCCCAACCATGATGAACCTCAGCACCTAGAGCAACGCTCCGCCCAGAGCAATACAACCTCGCCCATAACAACCACAACCCGCTGGCAACTAGAGTTCGAACCGACGGCAAGCCGAAGCCTACCAGAAAGAACCCCAACAACCTTAATCTACCACCAACACAGCCAATAGACGGAAAATACCTCAGAGGCGGCCCAAGAAGCTGAATTCGATCTCAGTGAAGGAGTCCGATGAGAAGATGCAGTTCCTCACACTGACCGCCGCTACGAGCTTCATCGCAGCTGCCGCCGCAACGAGCTTCATCGCCGCTGCCAGGGGCTCCGACCCATCCACAGACCCACTTCCCTTCCGATACACCCCCCAGACCTCAGATTCGGCGACCAATCCACAAATCACACCACAAGAGGCGGAGTTGGGAACATATACAAAAGATATACTCATTGTATACCGTCGACATAAAAGAAAGTTAACAACAGATATACATAAGATATATCAATCTTGTCAATATCTCAGAATATATACAGAATATATACAGAAGATATACAGAAAACATATGAGTCCGAAAAATATACGAAATAACTTGGTAATTTTATATTTTCGTAATTCTTTTTTGTTTCACGATCAGACTTGTATACAGAAGATATACTCATTATATACTTAACATATACATATGATATATTCACCGATTATAAACGAAACCTATACTAAATAACAATATATTTGTCGGAAACATATACAGAATATATACTAATTGTATACATAGAACATAAAAGAAAATACACAAAAGATATTAAATCAATCTTGTCATTCGCCTCTCCGACGACCTCCTCTGCCGCCGCATCCTATCCTTCCACGCTCTCATCTTCTTCGATGCCAAACACCTCCACTCCAATTCCGAGCTCTCCCTCCTCTTCCTCGCCACCCTCCTCTTCCTCCTCCTCGCTCCCCGCGCCACCGTGGGCTCCCCCGACACCGTCGTTCCCGAGCTCGCCGCTCTCCGATCAGGCTCCACCACCGGCGTCATCTGCCTCTCCGACGACCTCCTCCGACGCATCCTCTCCCTCCCCACCCCCGCCCCCTTCCACGCCCTCATATTCTTCGACGCGAAGCACCTCTACGCCAAATCCGAGCTCTCCCTCCCCGCCCTAAATTCCGAATTCTCTTTCCTCTCCTCCACCTCCCGATCCGACAACCCCTCCGGCGACGGCGCCAGCACATAAATCTTCTTCTTCAACCTCGAATTCCAGGAATCTCTATCTTCTTTCGCCGTCTTCGGCGTCAGCACCCTCCCACACATCTGCCTCCTCCCTCCCGACGCCGCCCCAAAAACTGCTCGATCCAGATGAAAGCCTACGTCTGCTCTGGCCACGCCGAATCCATGCCTCCATCTACAATCAGTTTTTCTGTAGAGAGAAGGTGGGGTGGTTTTGCAGAGAGAGGGCGGTGGGTAGTTTTGTGAGATTTGATAGCAGAGAGAGATGTTATTTTCCGAGATGTGTGTGAGATAATATCTTACTAATTAATAGGGAGTAGTTATTTGGAAAGGGATAAGTTTTTTCCTTAATTACGTTAGATCTCATCAGAAAAATTCTCTAGTATAGTTGCAATTAAAAAGTGATGATTATGTTAATATGTTAATATTTACAATGTCTTTATATTTATGCAATTAAAAAGTAAATTGTTAGTACATGGTGCAATTTTCTCAAACTAGTAAAATTACCATCCAATCGGTCTCATCATAAAAAATTAAAATTTGCATGGAGCCACATGTCAAACTTTCAGACCCTTGTTGACAAATGACAATCATTGTTTTTTTACTTTATTCATATATAACTTTCGCATTAAATGTATCGTAGTAAACAACTAAAAATATGTATTCAAATAAATACATACATATACACATTTTTTTTGTGGATTACTTTTGGCGTCGATCTCTCGTTTATTTGGAGATCTCTCTTACTAGCCAAATTAGCTTGTTTTCACACAAAGTTTCAACTTATACATATTTAACTAAGTAGTTTGGTAACAACCTTATCAAAAGTATTTATTTTTAGTTGATCAAAAGTATAACTTGTCAAGCCGCCTAGCCACTAAATTGTCTAGCATGAAAATTTGTGAACATCAAGTATATGAAAGAAAATATAAAAGCAGTAATATGTTCATAAAGATTTTCTTGTTTCTCCAAATAAGCTTCCCATAACAATACAAAAAAGATGACAACAGGCTTTCAACTAAATTACATAATACTATAGCATTGTTTCCAAAACATTTTTCTGACCAAAAGTTAGTTACTTGTATTTTGAGCTAATATTTGGTATTTGACATTGTCAATAATCAATATGCCATTTAATAAGATTTTGGTACATAAGAGTTTTTGAGTCTTCATTAAACAAACTATTGGTGCTCAAAAGTCTTTTTAACTTCCTTCTTGATCGATGACGTATTACACTACAAGAAAATGAGGAAATTCCAATGAAAATATATTTGGATAGAATTTTCATGACAATATCAATAGATATTTAAATGCTATTATTTCTGTTGAAATTAATCCAGCGGAAATTCCAACAAAGATATTCCGTTGGAATGAGTTTTCCATTAGAATTTTCGTTGGATTTTGATGATTTCAACGGTGGTGGAAATAAAAATTTCATCGAAAATTGCATATTCCAACAGAAATTTCTACGGTCAAAAGCCATTAGAAATATAGCCGAATCATCAAATTCCATCTAAAATTCTAATGAATAATGCATTCAGAATATTTTCGTTGAAATTTCTGTTGGAATGAGTTTTTCATTAGAATTTTCGTTGGATTTTGACAATTTCAACTGTGGTGGAAATAAAAATTACAACGAAAATTGCATATTCCAACATAAATTTCTACGGTCAAAAGCCATTAGAAATATAGCCGAATCATAAAATTTCATCTAAAATTCTAATAAAAAATACACTCAGAATATTTTCGTTGAAATTTCTGTTGGAATTATTCTAACGGAAGTTATACCATTCGTTAGAATTTCTATAAAAATATATTATTATAAAATTTTTCGTTGAAATATAATAATTTTTTATAGAATTTCCCTTCTTGTATATCTCATCTTTACTTTACACGTTTGTGTTTTT